AGAATATGCCAAGGTCTGGAAATCGGACGTCTGGATAAGTTAGTAATTGGTCAAAATGAGAAAAAGAGCTTGTAAAAAAAATTAAGTATTTTAGGCACTAATACTGTATTAAATAAATATTAGTTGTAACTCTTTCAGGAACCAGGAAAATTAAGGGCGTCTGTAGTTTCACATTACATCGTCCACCTTTACACATGCGCGCGACTTGAGCAGCTATACACTCGCGACGCAAACTCAATGCAATCGCGATACAAAGGTGACGAAAAATCGATGCAAATGCGATGCCCCTTTTTTAATGATACAAAATGAGCGACCTATAAGTCGCAATTGTCACGACGCAATCGCGCATTTCACAAAAGCGCGTTTGTATTGCTGGTAAAAGTTTCCGGGTCTAAGTTTAACAGGTCTAAGGGTCGTATTCCAGAACTCTACTCAATGCTCAAGTCAGGACTTGAGCAGACTTGAGTATGATTTCAAGCACTGGAAATACGACCCTAATGGCAAGGACTTGAGTATGATTTTCAGTGCTCACTGCAATACTCAAGTCAAGCAATGCACTGGAAATACAAGCACTGGAAATACGACCCTAATGGCAGGGACTTGAGTATGATTTCGAGTGCTTTAAACCATACTCAAATCCTGACTTGAGCATTGAGTAGAGTTCTAGAATACGATCCTAAGTTTGTGATCTGTGTATTTCTTTGAATTTATTTGCGTACAACATGTAAACGTATTAACGTACGTAATACCAAGTACAATTTAATCGTGTTATACAAGCAGGCGTGTACCTACAATATTTTTGGTGTATTTACAATTGTTATACAAGCAAGTGTCTACACTTAATTTTTTAAAGTACTTTTAGTGAGTAAAAAGGTATGTAACATCGAACCGTATCCATTAATCAAAATACATCTAGACACGCCTATAACATTTTTGTAATCTCAAGAAATAAAACAAACAATCACGAGTTGCTTTCAATAACAATGACCGGACAACATCTTGCTGAGTTCCAAGAACTTTGCTCCGTTATAATATGTAACGACTGAGGAATTGAGTTCGCGGCTATGTTGAGGAGAAAATTTAAGTTAAAATACACAGTGGAGCTATTTTATTATTAAAAGAAAGATATTATCTAAGCGCGTACATAGTTCGACCTACAAACTGCAGGAGTTTACGACCTAGCTAGTCGTTACTTTACAACGAAGTTTTATTAACATACAAATATTAAAAATATACTGCATCAAACTTTTCTTTGCTTACATTTTTCAGCTCTGACAAGTCTGTGGCGGAAAGAAAATATTGTTCACATGCTTTTAGCTCGACACATTGCGATGGAGTTGATATATACTTAGGCATACTTTTGCTACACCAGGATGTCCATGAAAATTCATTTAACAGCGTATGTAATACGATGACAAAATACATGAACTGGTATCTGACAGCAACTGGGATATTTACATAGAAAAAAGAAAAAGGACATCATCAATTTTCGTTATTGTTAATGTTCTTGTTGTGATAAAAGAAGATAACGCCATAGATAAACGCTATTTAGTGAAAATCGGTGAATGTTTGATATCAGGACAACATAAAAGATAGTACGATGCAAAAATGGTATGTGCAATGTCAACTCTAGATAACAGCCGATAAGATGTCATGTTCATTGTGCTAAGTGTTTGTTTTTACATGTTTACGGGGAAACCAAACGCAGGGCAGTATGCATGTTACTACCTGCAAACTAGTAGCAGTAGAGGTCCTTGTGATAGAGTTCGTCAAGGGAAGTACTGCTACCTTACCTATTTCTGCCGCCAAGCAGTAATGTGAGCGTTGCTGTGTTTCAGTTTTGAGATTAAGAGTGTTGTGGAGAAATAACTCCTCCACGGAATCGTAGAAGGGTATTCAAATAGACGGAGGGGAAATTACAGGCACATGGGACTTGCTTCTTACTTATTTCTCAGGGTGACGAGCGCAGTGGCAGTGCCCTTCACATCTCTGTGATTTAAAGCTTTGAGTGGCACTGCAACTGTTATGGATAGGCGTGTCGCTTACCACCAGACACATGACTTGTTCGTCTCGTCTGTTGGTATCATAAAAAAACTAAACATCGTAAAGGAATAGACATGTGAGGTGTTCAGAGATTCGTGAGTGTTCTAGGTGTATCCACAGGTCAAATGACGTCACAATGCATTAATCGTTAATTATTAAATTAATTCAAGGTGTTGTGGCATTGCGGGATTGTCTCTTAATATGTACTCCCGACTACTTTTTGGAACTTTTGTGTGTAACTAGCTCTAATTTATTACAACAGTGTACTTGTTTTTAAAAGTTTTTAAATTGTTATTAAAAATATAACTATGTTCTGATTTGTTACCTTCATTTCTAATCGTTTCGGAATTTCATGAGAGGTATTATCTCTAACTCTGTATTACTTGAAGTTAAGGTAAAATACAGCCTATTCTGGTCTATCATAAAAGGTATAAAGTTGAAATATTGAAAATGTTTTTAAATATTCGTGACGCAATACATTGCGCATTATTTTTATCAATAAAGTTAGACTAGCAATTAGCGTCTATAATATATTGTGACAAGTCGCATGTTTTGTATGTTTACTTTACCGAATTACTGTTCACAGATTTAGCAGCAAGGGACGTAATGAATGGGCGTTAAACATTTGAGTTACGGCCCATTTGACCTAGTTGGTATGTTTTAAATTCAATCCAATGTTTATACATGGCTTTATGGATTTGTTAACACCCACTGTCCGCAAATTATTGGCTTTGCAATAGACATGGTATCGTGGTCAATGTGCTTGTATTATTCGGTTTGTTTTATTTTATTGCTTGTATGAATGATTACATTAAATATTTCAATGCTAACTTTAAATTTCGATGGATATTGCAAATAATAGCTAGGTAAAATGAATGCACGATTATGAGACTAGTAGTCAAACGATCATGTTTTGATCCCATCACCAAAGAATATAATAGCTATCACAACATAGCTGACAAATTGAAATAAGAAGTCCATTTAAAATATTGCAGCATCCCGAGGCTCTCAGAGTTCCGTGCTTGATGCTCTCTACAAAATATATCTTACATGAGCGAAGTCAGTCACAATGTCTTGCATGATCGAGCCCGGTCACGATCGTATACTAAGCGACTTCATACCGGTTGGATCAGTTTTAGATCGGGCTGTGTCCGCGCAACCGCGGGCGTCGATTTTTGTTACCGGCGCCCATGCGAGATCGATTCTTTTTTTTCCCACTACACATTCTGTATTAGACATTACACTTAGTTAAACGTTTATAAATGACAAAAATACTGTGCATCTGTGCTCCATCAATAAATGGATGCAAGAAAGGACGTTTCATTTTAAAATTCTGAAAGAGAGCAGTGTACCTATCTCGATGCTTTTTTTTGCAGTGCAACTTTTGCATTCGAGTCCTGTGTTGTGCTAAAGTTTGGTACGAGTGAAATTGGTACCGGTACTGGTTTAAGAACGTGGTTTCTGGTACTAATTAGTTCAGCAAGTCAAGTTCATTGTCAGCGTATTTATCTTGATTTAAAGAACTGGTAAGTGGAAATATGAAGCTACTTTCTTATTGTTACTGCTCTGAACTTTAAGTCCATGCTTGCTATGCGAATGGAGGTACTATCTTAGTAGGCATATTGTTAATATAAGTACGTTTTACTTATGGTTCTTACAATTTTAAAGATATCGGAGAGAGCTGCTTGAGTAGAAGTCACGTTCTGAGAACTCTACAGAGTGTGTATTGATATACAACATTTTTGTATCAGCAAATACATATTTCTTTCTATTTAACTTCCTGTTTGGGTTTAACAAGTTAGTACTTTTTGTGATACGAGAAGTCGACGAGACTTGGATATGCATGAAAGAAATGTCTATATTCTGAGCACTGATCATGCATCATATTATCTACGGGTGTATATTAAACAATTTTAATTTGAGATAGCAGTAGCCCCTGTGGACGTAGGAAGGGTTTAAATTTTCAACGAAACATGTATTGTAGTAGATGGTAGAGTAGTTACCTACTTACCCTCAATAGTGTACTCACTAACTACAATGGAAAACACTGCGGTATAACTGCCTCCTATTGCAATTAAGATTTGCGTAAGACTCGTATTGAATTTCAATAAGGAACATGATATTATTGACATCCTAACTAAAAAAAAATATTATATTTCAACGTCTAAGTACATAAGTAATGTTCATGGTTTTAAAAATGCTTTCATTATCTGTTTGTGTATGTATATATCTTCATTATTCATCTCATCATAAATTTGAATTGGATGAAAATCTACTTACTCCGTCTTCCAAGAGTGCTACATTTTATAACACCACTTCAAACGCACTTGCTTAAAAACTATAAATAACAATGATTTGTAAACTTTACAAAAAAAGAGTTCATATCCTTAAGTAAGTAGACTAGAACTTAGTTACGTATATCTTATATTTGTTTTGAAACTGTTATTATATAAACCAGAAAGTAGATTTATATGTGATATAATGCAGTTATTATAAAATAACAAAAATTTCCTAGTTAAACAAGATAATATGATAACATTATTTACATAATTACAATGTGCACACATGAAACAATTGACGTCATACATGGTAAAGACCGCCAAGTAAGAAAGGCGGTTGTTCTTGCCTGTCAAAATAATTACCACCAATGATCTTATATTGACAGCGCGATTTGAATAACCGATACGCTTCGTACACAGGTTTTTACATCTCTCAGATAGATGGTTCATTGTGTAGTATTTTTGGCTATCGTAAATGGACAGAACGAACCTACATAAGATCATAAATAAGTCAGCAGTTTACATCACGATGATTCGAAAGGCTATAACAACTTGCATGCTTCATAAATTTGTAATTTTGATCAATACATCGTTATAACTAAAATGACCTGGCTGTGCTACACTGTTAAAAAATTTACGACTTTGTTTAATTTAAGAGTAGGCAAGAATTTGACCCTAGATAAGTACGTAGATCATGTACCGGATACCATAAATAATTAAAATCTTTTAAATGTCAACGAAATTGCATTCCGCGAAAAATGTTCTGACATTAAAAATGTAAAAGTTGACATTTTACAATGGGACAAATTTAACTGAATGGGTGTAAAAATAATGACATTAAAGTGTGTCACGAGTTGGTTGCGTAAAAGCGACATCTGTTACCGTAGGTACTAGAGTGTTATATCTGTGTCACTGTCAACGAATATGTGTGACAAAGAGGTGACAAATTGGCAGTACTTGTTTTCACATGTTTGTATGAATAACACTCGACACTAAAGGCAGAATCTCTTCACTTCGCTCTCATCGCAGAGTCACTAGGGCCAACCTTCAAAAAGGAAAGTGAGTAGATAAGCGTAAAATAAAATGCCACTTTTGTACCGTTCGCCCACTTCTGGCTTCCTTTTAACTGTAAGCTGGTTACTAACAAGAAAGTAATGCCAGCCGAAATAGATTACGAGTTAATCGATTGAACTGTAGTTATTTTTTTACTGACTTCAAAATAATGAGGAGGTTCTCGATTTCATTGTTTTTTTTGTGTATTTTACGCGATTACTCTGACATTTGAGAGCCGATTTCGATGATTCTTTTTTGTTAGAAAGGGGTACCTCAGCAGTGGCCCATTCAAATTTGAAGAAAATGTTCCACCTCTAAACGTGGCAAATTAGGGGATGTATCCAGTTTACTGGATTTCACCCACTTTTCGTTAACTGACTTCAATAAAACTTGGCAAATAGACTAAAGTTCACAAACTATAGTGAGGTCAGTTTTTTATGTTAATAAATCATCTGTGTTTATTATTAAGATTAAAGAATCCTTTTTAAAACTTTCAAAAACGCATTATCTACCTATTTTTTTGTAAGCTCTACATAATTTCATTAATTAATGTTAATAAATATGCAGATTAGTTCATAGTTTCCGTGTTAGGCGAGTACTGTTTGTAAAAAAAATCTCATTAGTTTCATGTAACACGCGCCCTGACGAACGACTCGAGCACTTTTTTGCTAACTGTCCAGAATAAATTATATGCTATTACAATCATTTAAGATAAACATCTTGAATATTGATAAAGCTGTAAAAAACGATACATAAATGTTTTTATAAAGTACGTGTAAGATTCTTGACTACAAACTAACAGTACAAGTATGTTAGAGAAATAGAAAAAGCGAATGATCTATATTTCTCAGAATTGTGCAAAGCAAGTCCTACCAAGAGACAAATATTTTTATTTTATTTTTTATACCACGAACAAGTTATGCGACTGGTGGTAAGCGACACGCCTATCCATAACAGTTGTATCGTAAAGGTTTAAGGGCACTGCCACTGCGCTCGCCACCTTGAGACATAAGTTGGTAAGTCTCATGTGCCTGTAATTACACCTGCACCCGTCGGTAACATTACAGAAATAGGTAAGGTGGCAGTAGTTCCCTGTACGAACCCTTTCACAAGGAACTCTGCTACTATAAATTTTAATGTAGGTATGTATCATATGAACCCAAATGATTTTTTTCTTTTTTAAATACGTCCATACCCACAAGACAAAAAATGCGAAAGTAAATTTTTTTGCACGGTACAAATATTTGCTTAAATTTTTTCTGTCGGAGTCAATGTTTGCATTCTGAGGAATTTGCCGATTTTCGCACAGCTATAAAATGTAACTTGTTTGACAGTTTACAGTTATGGTGTTACAGAGGGAAATAACGATAAATCAATATCTACAACAAAAAGTCGTTTGATAGTGGAATATTTTTAATATGGCATAATAAGAAAAAATAGCAAAACGACGTACATGGCACATTAAGCTCACAGGAGTAAATGTCGCTTAAGAACTGGTGAAAGAGAATTTTCAGGTAAATAAATCTGTGAAAGTATCAATGAGATTGATTTAAGTTTCGTATTAGGTATTAGTTTATTTATCGTTTTGTAAGCACTTAAGTAATGCTAACACATAACTATGCAAAATATGAGAATAAGCGCAAGGTTAACAAATATCTACTTGACCTATTCAGAAGAATCTTAACTTTATTACAATGTTGTAATACAGACTCTATCACAAGAATGCGGCTAATAAAACATATTTTGCACAAAGGCGTACGCACAAGTATTCGTGAAGGAATTTATGAAACATTAGTTAGTAGATTCTTAGATAAGGAACATCTAGGCAAATATTAGTTTATATACGGGTGCATTTAATCGAGAACGTTGTGGTAAGAGTGCGTGGTCAGAAGACTATTATTGCGTTCCGGTTTTGAAGGGTAACGGAGCTGATGAAATTACACATGGGACTTGTCAACTTATGTTCTGGGATGACGGGTGCAATGGCAGTGTCCTTTAGATCTGTGCGACTTAAAGTTGTGAGTGGCACTACAAATGCTACGGATAGGCGTGTTGCTTACCACCAAGTCGTGCGACTTGTTCGTCCCTTCACTTAGTGTCGTAAAAAACAGGAATAAAGGGGCTAGCATTTAAAACTTGATGAAAGTAAGTGAAGCCACAGGGGTTTGTCAATAACGACTCTTACCCATGTAATGCAGTAATTAAATAAATATTAATGCCCCAATGGGAATATTACGGTATATGTGTACAGATGCATAATCAAGTCAAATCAAATAAAAAATCTTATGTCAGACATTGCCCGTACCGTGTTAGTTACAGAAAATTCATAGCCTATGTTAGTAAAAAGTTTGTCAGAAGAAGAAAAAAATACATTAAATTATACACGCACTGGTCCAGCATAGTGAACTATGGTTGTTCCTTATGCCGTAAGAGATCTTGGCTTTTATGATGACCCCTACATTTATGATCATCACGGCGTATGACTTCCCATAAACATACAGATCAGGGGTCCTACTACAACCTCTTAAAACAATATTACTTTAACCTTACATTGACTTTTCGTACCATAACGCGCTTAAAGTAAGCTTATTGTAATGTTAAAACTATGATGTTTTATTGGCAGCTTTGTGACTATTCATTCACTCAATTGGTACTATGACGTGATTTTAACATTAAAGTAATATTGCTCTTATGTCAAATTTAGCAATCTTAAAATAGTTACACGGATGCAATGGAAACAATATTATTGTCTTAATATTGATTTGTAATGATTAAAAGTTAAGTTGAACTTATTTATTTACATAATAATATGTCTCTTCAATATTTTGTTCCTTATTATGTTCCTTGGCGAAACTAACAGTTGACACTAGACTATAGTTCCGTTCACAACGTGATTATCAAGACTCAGTTTGTTTTATTTATTTTTCTTCATGAAATTGCAGAATAATTATTAAAAGCAGCGTAATTTTAATAGATTTTATTATTACATATTTTTCTTTTGTAACAGTCAAAATTCTCTGAATGTAAATAACATTAAGTACTTAAACATTGTACTACGTTAAGACGATTCGGAACATCAAAAAAGAAAGAGATGGCATTATATAATTCACATAGCGTTATCTCTTTCCTATTTTTAGTAAGGAATAGATAATATTGGGAAATCATTCGTCCTTTCAATTACATACTTTTGCAAT